GTCCTTTTCTTTGGGCTCTCTTGAATTTGCCAACCCCTAGAAAGATGTTTCGAGCGCTTGATCCAGAGGGGTCTCTGGAGGCATTTAGCTGTCTACTTCTCAACTGTATCCTCGTAAATATCTGCTTTGATTTTGTTTTTTTAGGCACCGGGAGAGTGTTCAGCTCTGGTGCAGCAGATTTCGGGATAAATGGTTCGGGGATGCTCGTCAGTAGCCAGGTTTTTCGGGAACTGGAGTTCTTCCATGGCATACTTTCCCCGAGTCCCCTCGATGTCAAACGCCGCATCGAGGAAGAGCAGTTGCAGCAGCTTGAAACACTCAGAAAAAACATGGAAGAGATGGGAGTGGACCGGTCCCACTTCCCTTTGAGACCTTTTGAGGTCGCTCAGGACGCCTCAGAGAAGATGAACTGTAGCGAAGCTACAGCGGGTTTGCAACCCCCCCGCTTTTCCATGAATGATCCTTTGCAACTCCCCAAGGTGATGTGCGGGACTTACCACTGCGGCTTGTTAACGCCTGAGGGTTCCCTCTGGCTGTGGGGACGAAACAATTGCCTGCAGCTGAGTAGAGATAAGGCGGTATGTCGCAGCAGGCGATTTATGCTTGCCAGTTCCGTTAGCGAGTCTCGATTAGTAAGGGACGCTCAGCGGCAGGGAAGCTGGGGTCTGCTGGGAACGTTGTAAACGTTCCATTATTCGCGCCTTGTCGACTGCAGTGCACCTTTGCTCGTTGCATGCGTTGCAGGTGATGGCGTCTGGCGGGGAATCAAACTATCCTCTTTTGGCTGAGTTCTTCGCTCGTGCAGATCTGCCACTCGAGAGCTGCGCATTAGGCGCATGCCATTCTCTCGCTGTCGCGAGTAGGTCCCCTTACAACCAGTGCGTGAGGGCGCCTCCATCCAAAGCACAAAACGGCATTTAAAACGCGCCATGTGAGACAGTTTAGTGACCGGTCAAGGCCACTTGTGTTGTGTATGTTGCGCATGACTTTAGGAAACGGCGCAGTGTACGAATGGGGAGGACCCAATTCGA